GCCCTTACACTTCACCTTCTGGAGCTGGCAGCATTTTTAAGGTGCAGTGTGGGTAGAGTGTGGTTAAGTGAGAAATCCTCTTTCAAACCCCCCCCCCCACCTCAGTCCCAGTGGAATCATTTCAGTGTTGATTGCCCTTTATATGATGCACTGTCATCTTTGCTTTGACAACACAGTTTATTAGCGTTTTCACAGTGCATAAACACCAGGTATCAGCATTTGGTTTAGCTTTGCTAAAAAACAGCACAATTTCTCCTCTGTGGGGTCGCTTCTCCACTACTTTAACTTGTGCTTTGCGAGGAAACAAACACCTTTGTGCTTTCACTGTCTGGAGTTTAGATGTCTCACAGCGCACTGTGCTTTCCATTTGACGCAGCTCTTGCTGTTGCATCGATTATTTTGCAAAGCAAGTTTTAAGGACACAAGAATCTCTCTTCTACTTTTGCACCATATTCCTTGCTCAAAGGAAGCTCTTTGCTACTAAGGAACAAGAGATGGCGAAAAGCCTGCTTGTAGTTAAGTGAAGTCTACTGCACAGCTGCACAACTATTCACAATTCAGCAATACACTGCACCCCTTCCTTGTGTGTGTTTGTGTGCATATACATGTGGGAACTTTTATCCTACAGCCTTGTCATGTTAATTTTTGTCCCTTTGGCATGAGATTTGAACTAGTTTATATCAATTCAGGGATATGCAACTCTACTGTCATTTGCATCAGCCTCAAATTCTCTGTTAGCATAAATACACTGACTTCAGGAGGAGTGAATGCCAGTAGAGAATTCAGGCTTAAGTGGTTCTATCTTCCAGTCCTTGTAAATGAGTACTTACAATGGTGAGCAACTTAGAGAGGACAGAAAATTTAATGCTTAAAAAGAGATTGTCGGCTAGTGACAAGGAAGTCTGCCTTCCTCTTACTATCTCTGCTATCATAGTGCATAATTAGATAGGAGCATTATGAAGATTTTTTACTTTCTCCTGAAATCTCCAATCTGGTAGAGGCAACATGCCAAATCAGATGGACTAGCGATCTGCTTTATGTGCTAATTTTGTCCCTTTCATCCTGGGCTTGGAAAGGAAATACATACGTGACTTCACAATGGTAAAAAAAAGACTCAAATATGTTTATTTTGGCACAATTTAAAAATACCCCAGTACATTAAATACCTTCCTATGTCCTTGAATTAACCCATTAAGTTCAAGACTCAGAGAGTGAGTGTTTATTAAAGCCAGCTGTATGAGGGGTAAATTAAAGACCCAATGCCATAATATATATATATATATATATATATATATATATAAAAAATAACACCGTAAGAAACACAATAGTGGATTCTGCCTGGGGAAACAACTGGGTCAGCTGCATTAATGAAATCAGAGCAGTTTCTGAACTGCCAATAAGAATAAAATTTACTTCATTTGAACAAAACTGTCAGCATTGAGAAGCCTGAACTCTATGTTCAGAAAAGGGTTCTAGTGCATCAGATACTTGCCCATTTGAGGGTCAGGCAGGGTTCACTGGACAGACGCCTACGTAGGAGTGACGTGGGTGACTTGCAGTCCCAACACGGCAATGGAATGGATGACCCACCAGTGATTTATGTAACGAAAGAATAGATAAGCATCTATGCAATTTTAGCGACAAACTCTTAAGAGGAAACGCCCTGCCTTCAAAAAGATGCAATTTCTTTGCACTATATTATTGCATAGTTACTTCTTTTCCTATAAGGTTAATTTGGACTTTGTCACTTCATAGCTGTTATGTTTTCCTACTGCCTCAAACACTCATTTGTACCAGTGATAAATCCTATTGATATGAGGAGGAGAGATGACAGACTAACACTGCCAAAGCTGCTGTCACCTGATTGGGGAACAGGCAAACAATACACGTAGTATTTAAGAGTGAAATCTTCCCCTCTCATCAGTGCCCCACATTTGCTGTGGCTATTCAGTTTGAGCAGATGGAACAATGTAAAGTAGGTGCAATTTAATCATAGCATGAGTCAAAGTTTTATATTTCATAATTCAGTTTTTGTGGTCAGCAGGCCCCACTCCATCATGAATTCTCTTTACCCCACTATCTTGCTTCTGGCTGAAAGCTATTAAAATAAGACTGGCAGCTCCTCCCTGGCTCCCCCATGAAATTTTACTGTATGGCTTTGAACAAGCCTCTGACCTTGGGCAGAAAGGAATCTGGATCCAGATGTTTGTATTGGCTCGAGACAACTATTCTGGAGATAGTGAGGGTGAGTCCTTATTAACTCAAACCAAATCACTATGTTCCCAAAATCCTGATGGCCATACTGCCAGCTGATGACAAAGTACCACAATGTGTCATTTCATCTCTGGATGTAGAAGGCCAATTCTGGTAGTGAGGTTCAAACAAGGGCAGGTGTGAATATGGAAACCCAAAGGCTGCCAAAATCTGCTGACTTGTAGGTCTAACACACGCTAATGAAAGGCTGGATTGTGAAACATGTTATGGTACTGTCCAGAATTCATGATGGCTCTGATTGAAATCAGTATGTTGACACCCACTGAGATGACTATGGATCACGCAACCTACCCAAGGAGATCTGCCTTTCCTTCCCCAGCCCCAGCCCCCCTCAGACATGCTAGAATTCAGGCAAATTGTAGCAGAAGAGAGGGATGAAGCGAGTCAGAAATAGTAGCTTATCAACTGCAAAACCACAGCAAATGGTCTCAACCAAATTGATCACTGGAAAGTCTCCCATTAGCCTGGATCTGACCCATACCAATCACAGCCTGTGTCAGCACCTAAGACGACAGTACCCTGATAATAACTCTAGGTTTGGACCCCAGTTGAAGAACCATGGTGCTCCGTGCTTAAGAGGTTGAAGATGCTTCTGAAGGCATCGGTTTTTGCATTAAGAAACACTGCATTGTAAGTTACATTTCTACTTTCTTGCAGCTTTAAAGTCATGGCACTTAGTCTTAACATTGACAAGTGAGTCCTTTACAACAAGCCCTCCTCACTGAGTAACCCCACTACTCTTCATTGGACTGTGGCATCAAGGTCTTCAGCTCCAAAGCCAGAGATGCAATCACGCTGCAGGAAAAAGGAACTCACCAGAACAGAGTGTACCAAAAAGGCAGATTCTTTACAGGATTTTAACATAACATCTATTAGGAGACGCATGAAACCAGAAAACTGAACAGTGCATTTCAAACGCAACAAAACAGTTCACAGAACTGGATTTGGCCAAGCATCTTTGCATTAGTCGGTCTCCCTTGGTCTGCATTTGGCACACGGCCTTCTGACACAGTAGCATTTACTCAGTTGCGATGCTTTCCTGGCACTTCTGTAGACACAAAGTTTCTTTGACATCACAGACACTTAAGAAGTCCTCCGGTAAGTACTGAAGGCTAGACATTGCTGACCCTGGTTTCTGCAGAAGAGATCATGGCAGCAGATGTAGACATCACTAGTGACCGATCTCGCCTGACGTAACGTGGCTTTCGAACTGAAAAGATGGTAGAAAATAAAATTCTATATATGGCACAATATTAGAAAATGAAAACAGACTACTAAATATCCCTTCTTCTGAAGGGAACGCTTGATTGAGTGATCAACAGCTCCAAACCTTGTAGATGTTTCCACTGTCAGCCTTACAGTGATAGGCCACATATTCGTATTTCATAGTGTCCCTGCTTACTGTTTCTGCAGCTAAGAGTATTGCCAAAGGGTAGGCAGGGCCCAGGTATCAAGAGCTAGAGCTAGCCTTAACACACAGAAATTCCAGATTCAGAACAAGTTAGACTAAACCTGAAGGAAGGCCTAAAAATGAATCTTATAAAAGATTCAAAATCTTAATTCTGGCACCTCATTTAAAAAAGAAAAAAAATCTACACATGCAAATTAAAAATAGAAATCAATAATTTAGCTCATTTAGAAAGACATTTCATCCAGTTTTTGCAGTTTGTTCCATCTCCCTTTGAAGTAGATTTGAATTTTGTCATTTTCTTCAAAAGACCAGGCATTTAGGAGTCAGCTAGTTTTTCTTGTACCGCAGTGATTATACCGCTTTGTAGCCAATATACAAGTTGCTTTGATAACTTGATGCAAGATTGGCAGGTACAGTTTTGAAGCATTTATAAGCTGTATTATGTATAACTGACTTTAAAAATAAAAATAAAATGTTGCTGTGTTTTCAGAAACGTGCAGAATGCGAGAGAAAGCTTATTTCTCCCTTTTACAATGAGACCGAATTCCCCTTCTCCCATGTCTGGAATGAAGAGGTAGCCATCGGGGTCTCTGCCATTTAACTTTCTTGTTTGCATGTTAGCAACCTTGAAAACAGCGTTCGTTAATTTGTTGCTGTCTTTGGTGGCATTTGTAAGCACTTGCTTTTTTCCCCCCCTTAGTGCTTTTTTTCTTTTAAATTAAAGCCATTTCCCTAGAATGGATGATTTAATTATACACTCAGTGCTACTTGTATGAAGTGCTTGTTAGGGGAGAGAGAGACCAGTTAGATGAGCTCCTCTCCAGGGAACAGGTCACAGCCTGAACTCTTCATGCTTATTAAAAACTGCCTTGCCAAAAATCCCAATTTTTGTGTTCCAAACAGCACAAGTGTCATTTGTTTCAGGAAGGGTGACATGCTTCAATCCAGTGAGCCTGAAAATGAGCCATCCAGGAATCCTCAAGATGGTTCCAGCCTAAAAATATGTTCCAGCCTGAATAATTCATTTTTTTTAATACCTCTGAAAAATACCATCATGCTAAACTCTCACTCATCTACTTCTAAGCCTTCTCTATCTTAGCTGTCAAAGCCACCATTAAGGAAAGAGTGCTTTTTACGAAGTAATATGGTATGCCTACGTTAATGCCTCCAGTTATACCCAATTAAGAGTAATAATTCAGGCATTGCCAGAATTTGTACCCTCAGCTGCCTTCACGGTTTGATTTCTGGAGGGGTTTTTTTAGTTTGGGGCTTGTGGTCTCTTCTTGTTACACCAAGTATTTCTATAATGTATGGAATATTTTTTAATTACTTTGTATTTCTTACCTACTTTTAAACAAAGGAGGAAAACAAAGAAATGGGGCAAGTTGTTTGACATGAAAATATTGGTTGTAAAATAGGGAACAGCTGCCTACCTGAAGAAGTAGGTGGAGGTATCATTGATGCCTGCAGAATTAATAAGGAATGAGTCAGATACAAAACACCTTTGTCTTTACAGTTTCTACTACAAAAATTAAAAGTTGATACTGTAAGGTTACAAAAAGGCAATATTCAAGAAGTGTCATCATAACTTTCCAAGACAGAAAAAGCTAATGTGATTCTTAAAAAATCCATTTTCTCATTGTGAAATGCTGCCTTTAACTTGGTGTTTTTTCCCCTGCATGCATAATGCAAATTCTCTATTTTCTGATCAATTTTACTTCCAGTTTCTTACATGTTCATACAGGGTAGCAACCCACTTTTCCACATCCACAAGGGAATGTTTGCTGGGTTGACAGGATTCTTTTAAAGTAAATCAAGGACCTTTCTTATGGGTCTTACATTTTGAAAGAAGTTTCACTTTACAAAAATCTAGATTTGGGGCTGAACTAGCCCTGTATTCAACCCTGTGAAGAATGACATCGGTGCACATTAAAAAGAATGATTTTACTTACTGTTTCACTGGGCTGCAGAACAGATGCTAAGGGGGAAAAGAGAGAGAGAGAGAGACCATCACTGCTTTAGAAGGTTAGAGCTGCTCATTTCAATTGTGTAGATACTATAGGAAACAGTTCTGTAGTAAAAGTGAAAGAATTATTTAAATCTTTCAAACCGAATAATCAGATCAGCCCAATATTTCTGAACTGAGGCAGCAATCTCTTGCATTGCTTTGTGGGAAGCAACAACTGAGCCACATTTGAACTTTTCATTAATAAAGCTCATTGCCCAAATAACTTTTGCAGCATTACAGGGTTACAAAGCCCTCCAAAATATATATATCATTCTTACAGGGTTCATCCTGTTCTCAGTTTGCTCCCAGAGCTGCCAGAAAAAGGAACACATGGCAGCCTTACTATGCTTAGAACAAGCTGCAATGAAGAAAAGCAGCAGTAGCCAGCTCTCAGGAACAGAAGGCAGCAAAACAGTTTGGAGAAAGCAGCAGATATAGGATCATACCAATCTTTCTGCAGACTATGAATTGCTTTTGTGGGCAGCATGCCAAATATTAACCCCCAAAAGTTAAAAACCAAGGGAGACACCTCTAAGAAATGCCTTCCAGGGGGTCATAATTCTCCTTCAGTGAGAAACCATTGTTTCAACTACTTGGGCTTCTTAGGACAAACAAAGGAAAAATTCTGCTCCACATACCGTTGAACCCTCTGTGCTAGTTTGGTGCCCTGCCAAGATTAAAGATGTCACAGCATGGAGGCTCTTGACCCACTCACAAACCCAAAGCGAGTCCCATGTTAACTAAATCCACTGAAAGGGACACCTAAGAGCAGCCTGTAAATTTCAATTTGTCCGTTATTGTGACATGCACAGTTTCTTTAACACTAAACCGCTTAGACCCTAGGTATCTATTATTGTACACTTTATATTAAAAGGCATCACATTCACTGGAACTGCAATATATAATTAAGTTACTATGGTTAATCGGAAGATTTCTGATCTAATTTTTGAAGACCTGTTTTTCTTTGCTTGTTTATCACTCTTATTTAGTGATTTCTGTGTAGACAGTTTGGTTCTGAATTGGATCTGTTTGTGGCTAACTGGAGGTGAATGGACTACCAAGCTAGATAACAAGGTACTGAAACCTAAGTTTGCTAGGACAGAAGCAGCTCTCAGATGGTAACCACTGCACATGGGGTTGGACAAGAAAAGTGCTGGGGAGGCAGATACATTTCAGCTTCTTTTTATGTCTCTAATGGTACCAAAGTTACCGATCAAATATAACACATTTGTTCCCTAGCTTTGAAAGGCTGAAGTCCAATAACATTCAGATGTGTTACATAAATCTATTGCAGCAGAAGCAACAGAAACAAAAGCCCAGTAGATACCATAACAGCAAAATACCGGGGAAGTTTGCCCCCCTCTGTAGTACTATTGATTTCAGTAGAGATACTGCAGGAACGAGTTCAACTCATTGCATCTTAGCTATATAATTGAATTTCAGATTAACATTGCTTCCCAACACTGTTGTAGAAAGGCAGAAGCAGGAAAAAAAAAAATCTTGCCATAAGAAACAAACAAACAAAAGATAGTGACGGGCTCACACTATAATCGTCAGGCGATCGATTCTTGAGAGTCCCAAGTCACCCTACACACAGGACAGGAAGATGCAGAGGAATGGTGGACTTTACCCTGTTCTACTACTGCTACCTCATCTTGGGTAAATCCCATTGCCCTTCTGTGCTTGTTTTCCCTCTTTGTAAGAACAAATAATGCAGCAGGGTGTTGCAAGGGTCAGTCAATGTCTGAAAAGTGTTTTGAACACATTGGGATGAAAAGTAGTGTTATACAGAATCACAGAAAGTTAGGGTTGGGAGGGACCTCAGGAGGTCACATCTAGTCTAATCCTTGCTCAAAGCAGGACCAGCCCCAACTACATCATCCCAGCCGAAGTTTTGTCTTGCTGGGACTTGGAAAACCTCCAAGGATGGAGCTTCCACCACCTTTCTGGGTAACCTGTTCCAGTGTTTTACTACCTGCCTAGCAAAAAAAAAAAATCTTCCTAATATCCAACCTAAACTTCCTTGCAGCAACCTGAGCCTATTGCTCCTTGTTCTGTCATCTGCCACTACTGAGAACAGCCCAGCTCCATCTTCTTTCAAACTGCCCTTCAGGTAGTTGAAGGCTGCTATTAAGTCCCCTTTCAGTCTCCTCTTCTCTAGACTCAATAAGCCCAGTTTCCTCAGTCTTCTCTCATAAGTCATGTCCCCCAGCCCCCTCACCATTTTCACTGCTCTCCACTGGACTCTCTCCAATTTGTCCACATCCTTTCTGTAGTGGGGGGCCCAAAACTGGGCAAGGTACTCCAGATGTGGCTTCACCAGTGCTGAATAGAGGGGAATAATCACTTCCTTTGAGCTGCTGGCAACGCTACTAATGCAGCCCAGGATGCCGTTAGCCTTTCTGGCAACAAGGGCTCACTGCTGGCTCATATTCAGCTTACTGTCCACTGTCACCCCCAGGTCCTTTTCTGCAGAGCTGCTGCCCAGCCAGTTAGCCCCTAGCCTGTAGTGGTGCATGGGACTGTTCTGTCCTAAGTGCAGGACTTTGAACTTGTCCTTGTTGAACCTCATGAGATCTCTTTTGGCCCAATTATTCCACAGTCCTCCCTGTACAAATAGTATCAGCTAATAAATCTGATCTAGAATGTTTAGTGACATCCAACATGACGTGCTGGATTGTCAGACCCCTTTGCGCACTACAGACCATAAAAGAACCAACTTTAGTCTGGGACAAGACTGTATTGCTGCACTACAAAAGTATGCACAGCCAGTGGAGTGCAGATAGAGTGTTTATTCATTACATTCTGCTTTGACTGGACACCTTACAACAGCTACATAAAAATAATTTAGAATGCTGAACTCTGGAAGTTATGGAAATGGGACTGGCCTTTGCTAAATTTTCCTGCTAAACTTAAGATGAAACAGGTAATTATTTAGAGAGACTTTACCTTTGTTTCTTCTGTAGAATATATTTGGAAGTTTATTGGCACGTTTGAGGTAGAAGAACGAAGCCACACACAGAATTAGGAATAAACTGATGAAGAATGTCCCTAAGATGAGCGAAGCTGCCACTTCTGGACCCGCTGTGAAATCAGAGGAAATAGCCTATTATTCACTAGAAATTGCTCACAATACAAGGGGCAAAGCAATTTATTCTCTCATTGCTGTTATGGAAACTATGGAGTAACTCCCTCCTATTTAGAGGAGAACACATTATCTTTGTATACCAAAATCTCTCTCATGAAAGCCTTCTTGAAATGGTTAGGAATCATCTTCCAGTACTAATTTTACCACACTACAGCCTGAACCAAAAACCAATGCAATTTTGTTTTTCTGAAAACATCCATACACTTTTGTTCTAAATGTTTCTACTTTTATGCTTTTCGAAACCAGTGTTGGCAGGCACTGAGCAAAAGCATCCAAAATAAAAAGAGCATTTTAAATTAACTTAAATTGCTTCATACAGAACTGGCCAAACTACATGAGACTACTTGTCCACTATACCTGGAAGCAGCCTACATGCAACTCCTAGGGACACTAGTAACATTTTTCTTCCAAAATACTTGCTCAATTTGCTTCATTTTTCTTGATCAAAGTCATTATCACATGAATAGGCAACAAATTATTTTAAGCAAAGGAATGCTGAAATTCTTGTTGCGATTAGGACAAAGAATCAACAGATACACCACCTCCAGTGTTTACTGGAAAACAGACTTTTCTGCATAAAGAAACCTCTATGGCATCACTCTATTTTCAATTTGTTGCATTCTGAATCAGGGTAAAAGACTGTTTAGTGAGACTTCTAAAACTGCAAATATTTTCTGAAAAAATTCTGTATACATGCAACTGCGTCTTCCAATGCTGGTTCCCAAAAATTTGCAATGTGTATGAAGAACTTTCTGTTAACTCTTCATTTTCCTAAGCAAGATAGCTCTTCTACACCATCTGGATGCTAACTTCTCTACGATATTTTTGTAAACAAGGCTGGCCTCAATCCCATGAAGGACTAGAAGAAATTCAGTACTTGTTTGATATGTGTATGAAAACAAACTTGATTGAGAAACCTGGAATCATAATGGACTTCATACAAGTATGATGGCACATCCTACACTGCCTAGTCTCCTGAGCAGACCGCAAGCTAACAACTGGATGTCTTGGGTAGGTTCTGCTTGAGAAGTCCAAAATAATGAAGGTGAAACATGTGTGCACTAGCAAAGCTGTCTGGAAGCAGCTTGAGTAACACCTAACTGTATGTAGACCCAGATTAAGAAATTGCACTTAATCTTCCAATGCATGAGTACTAACACAAAGTAGTTATTTTAAAACCAGTCCATCAAGTCACTTGTCTGGGATTCTACCTCCAATGGTGACCCACACTTCAGCAGTCAAATATATCTGCTTGCAATACATGCAAAGTAACCAATCTGAAGTGACTGGTGAGCAATCATTTGTGGGTTAAAATGGCCCCCAAAATTAAAAGTTTCAGCCTTTATTCTAGGGCTGTAGTGCCTCAGATTTCATCAGAATTAGTAACATTAAAATTGCATACAAAACTCCCCATGAGCCTTGCTGCAGCAAGGTTTAACACTCAACTGGCAAGCAAGCGGCATAATCTATACATCTCTCTAAACAAATCTCATCATGATTTGCTGCAAAAGGCTAGAGTAACACTACAAGTATTTGACACCTCAAAGTCTTGCTTTTTAAGAAAAGGTCTACAAAATACAGAATGAATTAAAGGTAGCTGCAACCCTTACGATAGGGGATAAAGCTTCTCACAAAAAGTAGCAAACAGAATGATAATGGGGGGGAATGGAAAAGACAACATAGAAGGCTGCCCCATTATAAGACATTTCTATTTACGTACCTATATTTGGTAGGATGGGGGTTACAGTGCTTACATTCATTTGGAAATGCATTCCTCTGGTAGGAGGAGCTATGTGGGGGGGGGGGAAAAAAACAACATTTTTTTTAGGAAGCACGAAAACAGTGCACATTCATTAATGATTTTAAGTGCTAAACTTCATCATATTTGACACCAGCTAATTACTGAGAAGCTTGAAATCTGTTTTCCCCCCAGGAGATAAATGCTATTTCACAATATCACCTCTGCCACTTCCAGAGAGGGGAAAAAAGAAAGAGGTGTTTGATCACCCTCTTCTGGCAAAGGAAAGAACAATTCATTCCCCGGAACCTTTTGGATAAAGCTTTTTTTTTCCCTTCCTAGTTTGGCTAAAAGATTTAGAGTCAAATAAAAGCATACCTCAGCGAGGAAAGCAAAAGAGGGAGAAATCTAACCTCTTCTGTGAGAGACAGTGCAGCTGAGCTTCCTGAAAGAAGGAGCTATTTGTGCTCAGGAGGGATCCCTAGCACATGCCTACACCAACTGCCTCTTTCCGACAATAGAGGATAAAGCATCCAAGAAATAAAGTGTTCATTATGTTGGTCCATGCAAGTCTCTTCCTTCTTTTAAACATTTTGGTACTGAAGAGTTTGCAAAAATTCACACAATGAGAGTTCTTACTGCTTGTAAAGATCAGACATTCTGGCATGTACACAAAATATGTCAAAAAGGAGATTATGATCTTTTGTCTCCTAGATTCTGGCCTGTTGAGCCTTACATGGTTCCCCGACAGCCTTTTATGGTTGATTTTAGGGAGACTGACAGGCTCTGGAGGGAGTTTGAAACCTCCATCCAACTCAGAGACCTTATTTTATCCTTAAGTAGCTTTGCAACAAAGAAAAAAAAATGTAGAAACCAGAAACCCTCAGCCTCTTCTAGGATAGTCTTGGCTGGACAAAGTGTGTACAAATAGAGAGGCTGGCACACAGGAAAAGAGGGCGACAGATAACTTACTATTTTTGCAATCGCTCAGATTGTAAGCTGATGTAACAGGAGTGGTGTCATTCTTGCATTTAATACAGCTGCTACTACCATCCTCGTTCCACCTTCTGTAACAACCTGCACAAGAACAAAAGTGTACACCATGCAGGAAATAAGTATGTCAGGAACATGCTCCTTTTTTTTTTTTTTTTTTTAAAACAATCAAGCATCAGAAAGCATGAACTTCTGTTCTATAAAGTGGTCTTCCTTACTGTCAAGCTAAGCAAAACAGAGCCCTTTCATTTCTAAAGCTCCCATTGTAACAAGATGTACCCTTTATACAGGAAACTAAGGACACATAAAAGTTACAAGCAAACAAACACAAGAGGTTATTTTAAGACAAACCCATTCACCACTTAGCTTTTTTAAAGTACATTATAATTTCCTCTCTCCAATCATTCCCCCAACCACCCTTAAAGAACTACTACATAGAGAAAGCCCTGCCCTCCTTTCATTCTCCCTGCATCTTCAGATTCAGACACTGCTAAAGAAAAATTTAATACCAAGAAAAAATAATTTAAAAACTCAGAAAGGAGGGGAAAAAAATCCTTCGTGAATGAACGGATACATGAGACTCAGCACTGTCAGTCAGTCAGAGAGCAGGCAAATTAATAGCATCAACGTAGCCCATAATACAGATTTTTTTTTTTTATTTTTTATGGCCAAGCCTTCTCTACTATTGTGTAATTTGTTTCAGGTCAAAAGGACCAAAGCCTGTTTCAACTATTTTGTGACAGATGGTGGATCTTTTATATCTGCCATTCTACCAGATAGGGGTGGAAACTGATTAAGCTTTTGTTGTAGGAAATGTCTTTGGGTTCCAAGTTTCTCAATTTATGTTTCAGGACAAAAGTTTCTCTCTCTCTGATAAAGAAAGGGGGAAAAATGTTAAAGACACACCTTCAACACCAACTCTATTTAATAGAATAGAGATGCAATCGTTTTCTTTTTGCCTTGCGTCCTATGACACACAAACCTGGAGATTAGTAGGATATTCCTACTAGATCATATTACACTCTAGATTTTAAAGTTAAAACTCACTGTGCTGGCTAAAATCCAGTCCTCCCGAGCCTTCAGCCAAACTGGGATCAATTATCCCATAAAGCATACCATTAGTAAGGCGCTGATTTGAAAACAGCTCTGCTGTTAGGTTTTCCTCAGAGGGAAGCTGCACATTTGATGCCCTTAGTAATAAATTACATCTGACATTTAATCTAAACACAAACAGACCCACTGTAAGGGCAAAGCCTTTCTACACTAATGGGACGGAAGTAAGAAAGCACTTTATCTGACACCAAAGATTTTGGTAGATTAACATTTTACAATGCAATATAAGAGAACGTGATTCCATAACTTATGGACCACAGATTTGCCATGTTTCGCATCATTTAAGAACAGAAACAGAAGCAGTAATCAAGTAATGTTTAAATAAACTAAGAGCAAAGCACTTAGATTAGATACGTTTAATTGGCATTTTAATATCTACTGCAAGGAAAAGACAGACTGCAGGGTCTGTGTCTTAGGTAAAGGGGTGATATGATTTTCTACTCTTTAGTTTTAAAGCAGAGTCAGTAATGTTTGTGCCTGCACGTTCTTACACTGACTTGGTGTCTACAACAGATTAATTTAAAGATTTTAAATTCATCTTCAACATTAGATTGTCAATTTATTTCATAACATTACTGGAGAATGACAATAGCAGAGGGAATCAACTAAGGTTTCTCTGAAGGCCTACTGTGACAGAAAGAGAGAATGCAGCATTTCCCTGTAATAAAAAAGATAACACCGTTGGTATCATAATAGCCAAGTCAGAAGTCTTTCTTTCTGTTCCTTTGGCTGCATGCTGCTGCGTTTTTGTGATACATACCCAACACAGGTACTTGTAAATATTAATTTACAACACATTTTGTATCATACGACTTGTACTAAGTCAGAACCTAAAAACAAGTATGCCAATGGAAGGCTACTTTTCTTCCGCTTGTGAAAAATCTAACTTCAATAAGATACACATGGCACAGTGAGAAGAGAAAAGCATTCCTCAAAATGCTGATATTGAGTATCTTCTCCTTCCTTCTTCAGTTAATTAAATTCTGTTTTGTCACTGGCTACAGAAAAATACTTTGGAATTTCCCTTGAGCAAGGTGACACTACCTGGACTGCACTGGTTGGTGACAGGACAGGTACTGTTGGCATCCAACACATCGATGCAACACTCTGACTGCGAAACCTAAAAAGAGAAAAAGAGCATTTTTCCCACAGCAAGCACGTTTGCAGCGCCACATACTGCACAGTCCAGCATTCTCTGCACTGCAAGGGCATGCTGTCCGAGTATATGCTGCTCCAGGGTTTTTTTCCGTGTTTTTTTTTGGATCCCTGGATATCCAGGGGTCAAAAAAGAAAAAAAAAAGCTGCAGAAAAAAACCTGGAGCAGCACACACCCGAGTAGCACGCTGCTGAAAAGCAGAGCTGGGGTGCCTGGAGCTGTGCTGCAGCTGCCAGCTGGTTTGCCGCAGCTGCAGCCCTGGGAGACCCCCAGGACACCAGGTAAGGCTGCTGGACTCCAGCCTCCCCTACCGCCCCTTGGTGTAATTTGCCATGTGCCAAAGCACATATGGCATGGGCATTCCTGGGAACAAGTAGCAGCAGTGCAAGGTGCACCACAGCTACTTGTCCCCGGGAAACCAAACGTCCATGCATGTCTGGATGCACCCACTCAGTTTATATGAATGGTAAAATACAACAGCAGGTGACACTTGTGGCAACAGTCAGTTCACCATCACTTTTTTGGGATAAACAATATTAAGGGATGCAGAACAGGCTGTATCGTTCTAACATGACACACTTAAACTTGCCCAGGCCAGGTTTTTTGGGAATGAATTTAAAAACACTATGCATCAGTGCTGATTTTGGATATAGCTTCCACGAATGGCCCTTAACAGCACTTGCTAAGCCAACAATGTACAGCTATTACCAAAGATTTTTCTCTTCTTTGGTAAAACCATGGAAAAGAAGTCTCAGCAAGATTCCATTAATAGATTTTCCCTTAGCCACTTTCTTTGGGGAGAAGAACAGATCATAGGAGCGTTGATAGTGTAACAGATTCTAAAGGACCCTTCATTGCGAGAGGCTGTACTTCCAGAACAGTTCTGGTCCCTGATGGCCCCAGTCACATCTCCTGATGACACAAAAGATCCACTCGAGTTGTGGCCAGAGACTTCCCCAGGCCATGACTGCTTCAAAGACTTTCCTCACACAGGGGGAACCCCTTTAGAGAAGGAGCCCACAATGTACAGTTAAGACATTATATCCTCTGTCTTGATTAGCCCAGTCCTCACCCTTTTGCAGAGATGGCAGACTAGCAAAAAGTCCGTTGCAGGATGCAGGAACCTGCTGACAAGACAGCAGAGCAAGACCTCCTTCTGGCACAGATCTGAGGGTCTGTCTTTCTCCCTGCACTCTAAGGCAAGGCAGCCTGTTATTTTGTCTATGCTTCACACTTTTGGGTAGACTCTTAATTTCACAGAGCACATGCAGAAATAGGGATCTTTGCATTGATGTTGTAGTTAAAATAAAAAAACAAACATGTAAGACTGTCAGCATCATGGCAAGAACCAAGCTCGTGTGCGACAGCTGACTGAATTAAGCTGCTCTTTTTGACTTGTCTAGATGCACTGACAGTAGGACTCAATTATGAAAAAATAAACTTGCTCTCACTCTTAGGAAGTCTACTATAAAAAAAGCACTCATTAGAAAACTTGACGTTGGTGTAAACAAGCCAATCTCCATATGGGAAATTTTAAAACTAAGTGTTTTTGCAAGGAAAATGTTACTAGCAAAATAAGTGGAAAAGCCATTCTGTCATTAGATACCCATATTGCAATAAACAATAACATCCTTTTCCATGTTAAAAGCAAAACAACCCGAAGTTGAACAAGCACCTTCTTTACAGGGTTAAAATGTCCCTGAAGACCATTCTTTCTTATTCAATTATACACGTTTCTTAAAAACCAAAACAAGAAGAAGAAGAAAAGGATGTGGGCTATTGGTCTGAGCAGAGGTGGGAGCTGGGAACTTCCTAGCTTTTTCCAGCTCTGCACAGGCTCACTACGGGCACATACCCATCTTGACCACCAGTAAAATAGGAATAAAGCTACAAAACACCCCTGTGAAGTACGAGCCTGCTACCGTCTTGTAAGCTTGCTAGGTAGCATTTTGTATAACACTGAGGATCCTAAGTATGATTAAATGAAATTCTCCTGCAGAAATAGCAAGCTAATTAATTTTCAGCTCATAAAGACTGAAGCGAAATGGGTAGAAAGTAAAGATTGACTAGTACCCAAGCATGACAGATCACACAGGTGATGAGAAATAAAAATATCAGATAGTGTGTCATTCACTCCTGAGGTAGTTGAGATAATAAAGTTTAATTACAGGGACAAACTTTACCGAGTCAGTAGAACGTGGGAGGGAAGGTTATGCTACAGTAAAGAACCAGAAGGAGTCATCAATGAGAAAATCGGCTGTTTAGTGCACATAAAGGCTTGTAGGTTGAATTTTCCTGGAGAGAGGTTACAGGTTTCTGTCCATTTGTTATGGAATAAAGCAAGAGGCAGATTCTTGGGCAACTTTTTGAAGTCACTATATTGCAGGCCCTAGTATCTAGCTAAGATACTACCATAAAGTGTGAAAGACGGAAAAAGCTTTTAAAATCATGTTTTTCAGTGGGTGTTCTGCTACCAGCTGCCTTTCTTCTAGCCAAAACGTGTGCCTTGGGTGGGTTCAGTACTTTGATAGACAACCTGTTCTCAGGGCAAGTTCAATCTCACTGGGTACCTAAGTTAATAGCCGGATACAGCATCCAATCAAAAATGTTGTTCTGAGGGCTAGTTCTTCACCCCTGTTGGAGAAGGTCTGCTCAGTTTAACAAATGGCTCATTGGCCACAAACACTGCCTGAGGAAGAACAAAAAGGGTAATGACATTTAGAGCTGAGATCCTGGTGCACCAGTTTTCCTGCAAGCAGTGAACCCTCTCTAACCTACAATGCAAGGGAAAATGCACCTACATCCCTCCTGGCAGAAAATCAGCACATACATGGGGCAAATTTGGACCCTCTTTCCTTTAGGGCAGCATGACTATTTGTGCAGCGCTATGGCATACAATACGTACCGAACTTTCGGTGGATTTGCTGGTAACTTCAGCTACGAGTCTAGTTAAGAGAAGGACATATGGCACTGCCATGCCCAGGGATGAGAGATGTCTAAATAAAAAGAGGACAAAAGTATAGCAGCATTAAAAGACAAAGAAAGTAGAACCTCTTTCCATCCAAAATGAACTTCTGCTGAAATGTTATTTAATCAAATATAAAAGCTTTAGATCAAGTGGGTCTGAGGGGAAAGACTTACCTCGGTTAAAGGTACAATTTTGAGACATTCAGGATTCTCATTCCAGCTGCAGAGGGGCAGGTTCTGATTATGGCAGACGTGTGGTTGCTAGGAAACAAGGAGCCTTATCAGTCTGCTCCCAACAGGGCCACGCAGAGACTATTCCACACCCAGGATCTAAAAATCAATGTGATTGCAATAGGAACAGTTACTGCCTGGCACCGTCACTGATAAAACCTCCCCACAACAACTGACTCTGGCTGCAGCGCTGAACTAGGAGGGATTGGGACCAGGACAGAGAGCAAGCAGCTCTTCAGAAAGGCAATGTCATAGTTATTCTTCCTGCACAGACGGCCCTAAAGCGTAAATCAGGATGTGAAGGTGCAATATTACTAAATTGAAGCAGAGGATCAGCTAGCAAGAATTTCTGGCAGCAATAATTTAATGAGGTTATTTCCAGGCTATCCACATTTAAAACAGAACGTAGTGTTTCAAGCTATGTACAGTCTCTTTTCCCCAGTTTTCATACCAAGCCTCAAAGAACCCTTGTGAAAACCTATTCCGTTCTCCCCATAACATGTTCAAATAACCAAAATGGGTATTCCCCATGCCTTTGTGTTGTTCAGATCCTTTCTGTGTCACCATCATGTCATCCAAACACTCTGCAGTCAGTATAGTGTAAGGCAGCCAGACCTATTTTCTCTGAACCGCTATGCTTGCAGCGTGGCCGCTTTTAAAATTTCCGCTTTCATATTAGAAGAGGAAAATTGGAAACATGAAAGACGTCCTGATTGCGGTTTAATAAGAGGAGAAAGTTAGAAGTGGCTGACTGCAGCCTGAAAGCTCCAGGTGGGCCTTCACATGTCTCGTTACATAAACCAAAACTTGTATTAAAAAACCTGTTTTATAAAAGTGTCCAATGGGTGACTTTTAAATAACTCACAACATTACTAAATTAGCATGAGTCATGTAAATGTAGCCCCTGACCAAGTATAAGAAAGCTAAACTGTGCTAAACAACTTTGACTTCAGGTAACTCGGAGGAAAACAAAACGTTTATGTATTAACTTTTATAGATGCCGGCATGTGCATGTGATCCCTTAAGTCCAAAAATTGGACTAGTTCAGTTTTGTGGGAAAGAAG